TGGGAAAGTTTTGGTGTTTTGGATTGGCGATCGCTTATGGGAGGTGGTGGCTTATGAGAGGTAGTTGCACATGGAGGTTCGACTGTAATAAATACATTAATGGAATCTTGGGGATCTTGGGGATCTTGGGGAGCATGCTCGACCTGGCTAGACTGTAAACCCATGTCTTGTGCTATTTGATAATCTTTTGATCTTATTTTACCTTACCTAGAAACAATTAGTCCAGTTTTTAAAAACATAATCTTCAGTCCTCATTTTATACCTGGTCCATGTTTTATACCCAGTCCGCAGTCCATGGTCCACATTCCGCAGTCTGTGTTTTATAACTGCTTCAGCTCCATTTTACTTCGTGTTCAGTTCGTTTACTTTTAATTTAGGTACTCTTTTTCCTGTACAAGTTTTAAATGCTGACTGCTTCCCCTCAGTATTTTATTAAGTACAAAATGTAGGTATCTATATTTTTGGGAGTTTATTTGTTCTAAGTTCTAAGCTGTAAGTTGCAAGTGTCCATGGGTTTAGAAGTTCGTGGCGGGAGGAACACATGATGAAGCCCATAGAATACCAGTGTGGGAGGCATTAAAACTACAATATACAAGGTTTAAGAAAGATCTCATGTATTTTGCCTTTTTTTCAGAAACAAAGATGTCCAGTTTCTGATAACGACAGGAGATGGAAAATTCTATTCAAATGGCATTGATCTTGAGTTTCTTGGAAGGTGCACTGCAGAAGAGAAGCTGAAAACAATAAATGGGTTTCCATCAGCTATACTGAGATTGCTTACTTTTCCAGTGCCAACCATTGCTGCACTAAATGGTACATTTGTCTTAGGGGGATGGGGTAGTAGTTTTTTGAGGGGAGAGTACTTAACCTTTGTTGGGGCATTTTATTTGTGGGATAGTCGGTAGGGCCATCATGATTGATTTTTGAAGTAGCTAATAGAAAAGTTCTAGACTTTTACTGGGAACATCTCATAAGGAGATTATGGCCTCTTATTTGGCTTCTCACTTTGATGATTTGTGACATATCGAAGACAGCTCAACTGGAACAGATGTTATTGGTTAAGGCTCTTTGTTTGAGATGTGCAAAACACAACATTCCCATTTGAATGCTCCTTATACACCCATTTTATAACATAATCTTTTCTGCTGATCCCCCTTGCTCACCAATAATAGAATATTTTTGTATCTTCCTACTGATGTTGTCTTCCACTTGATGAAGAAACCTATCTTAACCTTGGGCGCTTATTAAATTTTTGGACCTTGCGAGAGGGCGAGGTGGGTGCGTATTCGAGGCTGGTTGCTTATTAAGTTTTCACAATTTTTAGCAGTAGTAATTTTATGTTGCAACCAAATGTGAAGGAATTCGAAAGAAGAATTTTAACTTTTCATTGAAAGTTTCTTTAAAAGACTAAGAAAATTTGGTCTTCAAGCAGAACTTTCTCTATAACTATTTCCAGCTCATGATCAGTGAGGTCATTTTCTTTTTTGGTGGGGACTGGTAGGGGAGGTGGGTGCTTATTGAAGGCTAGGCATTTGTTAACTTTTCCCGCCTATAGGGTGGGTGGTTATTTGAGGTGGTTGCTTATTCGAGGTTGGGTGCTTAATTGAATAAATGCTGTATATCTGTTATAAAGACATCACTGTATGAAAAAAACCTTTTTAACAAAATTCTTGTATTAATTTATCAAGCCTTTTTCTTTAGCCCAGTGTGAAAGTCAGTTGGTTTTCTTCTAACCCTCTCTTCCCTCTACTAGCAAATAACATACCAGTATTCCATACTTACCAGTTAGCGTTCATGTTCACAGGGCATGCTTTTGCTGGAGGGGGAATACTGGCTCTTGCACATGACTACAGAGTAATGAGAACCAAGCGAGGCTGGTTCTGCCTTCCAGAAGTAGATCTTCACTTGCAGTTTGGGAAAGCAAATTTGTTACTGCTAAGGTATGTCACAACACTGTAATATAATAATAATTATTCATACTTTGCTATAAAAATCTGACCTGGGTTCTCTCAGTGATTGAAGAATAATGCCAGTCATTAAACGTTTTTATCAGTAGCCTCTGAAACTATAAAACACCAATCTAGTAGGGTTGATGGGCACTTTTTGAATCAGGTGTGTTATAAATATTTGGGGATGGTGCTTGCTAGTTGTATCTCTTACAGTTGGCAGATATGGATGATTGGCTGGTATGACTGTCACTCTAATACGTACCGGTAATTCTGTTGATGAATCCTGTGGCATTACCATTCAGATGAGACCTGTATTTGATGCGCAAAATGGTATTTTAAAACCTGACTTACACTAAAGCACAACTGACAATGTCACAAAGTTCTGTGATGACAATACTAGTCCCAGGACTCCCAATAGTACAATAATATTTATTTTCAAGGATTTTGCAAAAAAGATATTAGGAATTTCTGTGAATTTTTATATTAAGAAAGTTATAAATGACTTTTAATAATGTTTAGGGCAAAGATCAAAGATCCCAAGATACTGTCAGATGCTGTACTCATGGGAAAGCGCTTTGTTGCTGAAGAGGCTCTGTCTGGTGGAATTATTCAAAAGATCTGCTCTGCTGAACAATTACTTGATACTGCGGTGCAGATGGGCAAAGAGGCTGTAGGAGAAAAGAAGTTTAAAAGACACTTCTTTAAAGAGTTCAAGACAAATCTGTATAGTGACATTGTTGAGGCTTTTCAGAGACAAATCAGTAACACTGAAGAGAGTCTTGAAGTGATCTCAAATTTTTCTCTCAGTTCTAAACTTTAAACGAAAAATTTATACGTTTAAATGACTGGTGTGGTGTTCCACAGACAGTTAAAGGTGCCCAACACAAACTTCTTATGCAGAAGTACCAGGCTCCCTCAGTTAGTTAAGACATGTCAAAAAGAAAAGTAAGCGGAATAATGCTGTCTCCCCAGTCCACACCTGTATGTTTTTCTCTTTCTGCTCATACTGACTAACTAATCAGTAAAGCAGTGCTAAGGCAGTGCTTAACCCTAATTAGTAAAGGGAAAAACTACATTGTGTAAATTTCATCAGGTGTCCGAAGGGGCTATGGTCGATGGGATCTAATGATAACCGACTTTCTTAGAGATAAATCTGAAGTTAGGATTAGGCTTACAAGCTTATTCAAGGCTGGACGCTTATTAACTTTTTCTGCCTTTAGGATGGGCGCTTATTTGAGGTGGGCGCTTATTCGAGGTTGGGCGCTTATTCGAATAAATACGGTAACTTACAGTTCATCAGAAACGGTAACATGCTGGAGTTACAACAATCAGAATTCAAGTTATCGGGGTAAATTTCAGTGAACTAAGTTTTTTATCAAGCCCGAAATGAAACTTAGTTCCCTCAGTCGATTTAGCCAGGTTGGGGGGGGGGGGGGGG